TTTAAAGGTACAATAAATCATCCTGTTTACTCAGGTGATTTTTACCTGTTCAGATTTTGATCTTTGTAGAGCCAATTCTGGCCTTGGGTGCATCTGTTGGACTATATCGGAGGGCAGTGGCCTAATGTATTAAACATGCTGGATATTTCTGAAAATACAGATTATTGTACATTAACTATGCTGCACTTGATGGTCAACAGTAGCAGAGAATTCAGCCACTGAATTTTGTGTATTATAAGCCACTGCAGCCTGGTGAGAGAGCAAGCACTGTCCTTCAGTTTTGGAGTCTCTGAACTGAACATTTCTTGAGTACAGGCCTTCTGTCTAATAACACTTTCTTGAGGGTTAGAATGTACAGACCAAATTCACTTCCCTGGGATGAAGTCCTGGCTCCTCAGATTCTCTTATCTGTAACGCACCCTTGCCGAGTCTCGCCAAAGATGTGAGCTGCTTGTTTACAGCTCTTAAGTGCATAGGACACGTGTTAGTTGTAAGCAAACACAGATACAGGTAGGTTTTTCTATACTGCTTCTATATACCTCATTCCTTTTAGTGAAAAAGTAGGAGTTTGTGGATTAGTAAATTTTCTAAACACAATGCACCCCTATTTTCTATCTGGCTCATGCTTCTGTGGGAAGTGCTGGGGTGTCAATCTATATGGCAACAAGTAGGTAGCTTATGATTTAGTCATTTTCTGATGGTGGGTCCTGCAGCTCCATTAGGTCCCCTACCCCAATATAGAAGCCAGCCCAAGCACTTATACAACACGTAGCTTTGGGTAACAGAATACCTTTGTCTTCCCTAGCACGACCTTTTTTTAAACTTGTCCTATTGCTTCACCATCCTACCCGCTACAGACGAATGTAGTAAAATTGATTTACCTGCAGCGTGGCTGTAATCTGTTGTCCTGAGTTCCTGTCTTGATAGCTGCCTGTTAAGCATCATCCCTTATATTGGCAAGAACGTGACCCAAACCTGCCACCCCTGAGTGGGTAGACACTGAAGCAGCTAGTTTTGCTGAACTTTTCATGAGGACTATTTCATACTGTTAGCTAGAATTCATAGGTTCCACAGATAAATTTTCCAGTGTGTCACCATATATCCTACATGGAGAATATTGGATTTGCTAAATTGCAGAACTGTGTCCAAAACAGCACATACATGCCCGTGACCATTTCAGCTAGTCTGCCTACTAATCCATCTCTGGGGACTTAAACATTTCAACCTGGCAACATGGTTAAACAGGCACTGTTTTTCAAATCAGCCTGCTTGACAAATATTTTCTATGGGCAATTTTTAGTCCTATGCCACTTACAAATTGTGGCATACTGAATCCGATAAAACTCTGTATAAGATTTTTATTTCTTTGGAAAAGACATTCGCAATGGGGGGACACCACCTGATATTGAGCTCTTCAAGTGCTCAAAGTTGCTAGGCTTGTTTTGTTTATTTTTAAGTGTGATACTTTATTCATGTGTAAAAACATCCTCAGTAATTTTTTTTGGCAGTGTTTTACAACGCTTCAGCCAAGTTTCTTATCCCTTTGGCCACTTTGAGAGAATCGTGGTAGCTTAAATGCATAACCCTGCCTCTTGATTTCCATAATAAAACTACTTTAGGAGTGAACTTGGGAATTGTAAGATTTTTACAGATGAAACTTTAAACTCCCTAAAGCTGTTTAAAATTCTTAACAGGTCCTAAACTTTTGCAACATATGGCTTATATAGGATACACCTTGTTTAACGAAGGCTAATAAAGGTTTTATTAATACTTCTTTGGATATGATCTACATAATTCACTTGTGGCTTCATAACTTGTGAGTAAAGCAGCTATCAATGAATGACCATAAAACTCATAAAACAACTTCACTGCGCATTTTCTCTTTTTTGTGTGTGGATATTTTATGTGCGGCGAGTCCACAGAATTGAGTCCACACTGTTACCTTAGTGGAAAACAGCTATCTGAATTTGTTAATTCCTCCAGCCCATCTGTTTCCACCAACTCTTTATGAGACTTATCAAGGTCTGATTAGAATAAGAAAGTGATTTAGATTTTTAGTTATTACAAAAAGTTTCATGTTTCTGTAGCTGCAGACTGTCAAGGCCAAAGCTCTGCAATCAGTGAGAAGATTGTTTCATAAAGCCTAAAATCTCTGTAATGCTAACCTAGAAAGCAACTTGATGTAAATGACCCACCTCTGTAATCTGCTCAAGGTCTTGTTTATGCAATGTTATTTTTGTTGTTTATTTAGCTGCAGTCTTTTCTTTCCTGTTTTTATTCCAATTATACCTTGATGAATCTTATAAAGAGGTGGTTCTTGTTGTGCTGGTACTAAATTGGTGTTACTTTTAGAAAACTACTGCATGCTGCTTTTTTGGAATGTCTTGTGTGCTTTTTCCACAGAGAATAGTCTCTTTCTATCCTCCATATAACCACCCTTCAGGTATTACAGTGCTGTTTTCCCAATTTTTCTTTAAATGTATTCATTTGAGGTACCTAAACTGATAATTGATGTATTGGTATTGATTTTTATGCCACTAATTATCTTAAATAAGATAATGATCTTAAATAAGATAATTATCTTAAATTACTTGTTTGGTATAATTATTTAAAGAACAACACACAAATAATATTATTCAATTTGCAAGCCAGGTGCTAGATGTTATATAAAACATCTATAAATCTCAGTCTATCTAGAGCACCTCGGGACCTGATTTATGCTCACACAAGCTAGCATTTGTTGATGTAATCTCATTAACTTTAGTGGAATTACTCCTCTACGGTGCTTGGAGTGTGCTCTAATAAGACCTACACCAAAGATCATTATCAATAGGCAGCCACCTGCCTACTGTGAGTGGTTTCATAGCATCTGATGAAGTAGGATGTCACCTACAAAAGCTTATGTCTCTCTGAACCTGTTAGTCTCTGGGGTGCCTTCTGCCTGACTTTAGGCTAACACAGCTAACTACCTGTCATTTGCCTTCCTGATATTGTAAAGCTTGCAGTACAGTTTTAAAACAACTAGTAAAAGACAAGCTTGTATTAAGTAACCGATATTTCGATTCCTAGGATGATTATCTAAGGCAGGTTTCACTGTTTATGTTGACAACCAATTGAGTTAAATGAATAACTTGTACTTCATATTTTATGCTATCACCACTGTGATTAAGGAAATTGTTGAACATATCCAAATGAATTGCCACCTGTAACATACAGTGCAGAGCACTGATCTGTAACCATAGTCAATTATTAAACGCTGCCAAGGAGAGTAAATGTCATTAATCACTATTTAAATAGTAGACATCAGAAATGTGTAGCAGCTACTTGGCTGTGATAACAAGAATTAGAGTATAAATGTGGCAAACTTTTATATTGGTTTAAATCCTTTAAAAATGGCTCTGTGGATTCTAGTTTTCATTGTAGGGTGCATTGCTGATCCAGGGCTTCATGTTGCACAGAGCAGGTACTGCAAATGTTTTTCTTATTTCAAGTTTCAGTTGGAAAATGCCTGATTTTCTTTTGACTGCTAATACCTTTACTACAGTAAACTACATATTAAATGATTGAGAGGGACTGAGATTTGTGTGTGTTAATACCTCTTTTATAATAAGTTTAAAAATTGAAGTAAATTGAAGGTTTGTGTATATATATAAAATATGCGCTAGGGTGATGAAGAGCAAAGGAGAGCTGTGAGCCATTGCAGTATAAATGGCCACTGTCTCACAGAGGTATAATTTCCTGTTCTTTCAGTCAGCAGAAACTGTACACAGTACAGAGGGAAAAAGCACAAGCCTGCCAAAAGGCCAGTTATATGCCCACAGTTTCAAAGGAGTGATCTCAGCAGGTAGGAGAAAAATATTGGTGAAGAAATGGCAGCCTCAGTAGCAAAAGCTTGATGAACACAAAGTAGCCTACTGTTGTATCAAAAGCTTAGGGATGAAGAAGAATGAAAACTGGAAATAGGAAGAGAATATGTATACACGGAGTTGACTTCCACTTGTGATCTTCAAAACAACATCTTTCCATTTTTTTCTTCAGAAGTATCAAGCCTGATGGAAGAGC